AAGAAGGCCCTCACCCAGGAGCCTGGCTGAAGGCACTTGCTAGCTTGAGTGTTAAGATTGTTAACATGGCTAGGGCTGGCAGGATAACTCAGCGAGTGAAGACACTTGACTGTCAAGCCTGCTGACTTGAGCTTGATTCCTGGGAACACCATAAAAATGTGGGGAAGAGAGCCAACTCCATGATATTGTCCTCTGATTTCCTGTGAGCACAGTGACACGTGCTACCTCCCCCACACTATGCATATACACAATAATAATAGATTTCAATTTTTTTAAAAAAAAGAATTCCAGCACTTGAAATTTGCTCAAGACCCTCCTTTCCTGGCTATAAACCTACAGTCATTCTAACAATCTCAGAAGAAACTCTGTTTACTGCAAAAGACATTCCCTGAAATCCCTGGGCGACCCCTCGTAGCTCCCGGTTTTACCTTCTCTCAGTGCAAGCCCATCCAAATGGCCTCTGCAGCTACCCCATAATCTCACTCATCAAAGAAGGGAAAGAAAAGGAAAACATTTTAGCAGTCCTGTGAGATGTCCTTGAGCACCACCAAAGTTGTATACACTGGAGTGGAGTAGCCCACACTCTCAACTGGGTAAGTCTTCTTTTTCCAAAACTCTTTCTCTTGACACCTGCGCTCAAAGTCCAAGATAAAAATGGCTTTGACAAACTGAAGCTTTTTTTTTTTTTTTTGAGAAGCCCAGATTCATGTTCTGGGGTGTGCATAGCCATCTGTCTATCTATCTATCTATCTATCTATCTATCTATCTATCTATCTATCTATCTATCGTATGCCTTTCTTTCTGTAGATTGAATAAATCTGAACTCTGACTAATACTGGCTTTCCTTTGAAAATTCTTTTCTGTATTGAAGCAAAGGATCCAGTTTTACCGTGTTGAAGTCTCTGAAAGATTAAGGAAGCTCCTTGGGCTGCTTTGCGTAACATCACAGAGGCGTGTCTGTCCCAGTTAAAACTCACAACACCTACCTAGCAACTTTTTTTTTTCAGCCCAGTTGGCATGGCTGGAGAAGGGGGAGGCAGGATGTGTCGGCAGATTCTGAAGTCACTGGGGGGTTGCGGGGGGGGGGCTGATTTTATCGCTAGTCTGAAAGGAGCATTGCTGAAGAATTTTGAGCTTGGTGGAGAGGAGGCTTAAAATTGAGAAGAAATTTACATTGATGGGATTGTGGAAGGCGATACTGGAAAGTAAGCCATGAGTCTTATGCAAACCGCCCTGAGGGTGAAGGAGAGGAGAGAGCAAGAGGCATTCAGATAGAGTGAGTCACCTGGGCAGGGAAAGCCCAAAGTTTGAGTGATTCACATGCTCTTCACTGGGGAGAACTTGCTGGAATTTGCTTTCCAGGGAATGTATGTGGGACTCTAGGCTATCTAGTGCAAGCTTTCCAACTATGTGGATAAGGAGAGCCCAGGTTGGGGTGACAGACCCCAGACTCACTCTCTTGGTTGCTCAAGTCAAGGTGGATCTATGGAAAGGCCTTTAACCCATTTAACTACAAGAGAAGAGCCCTGGGTGGCGAGGTGGGACTTAGCTCCTGCTTTGGAGCTCATGGGCTGCTCCATCCCTCCAGAGCCACTGGGTGGAACTCACATGTAGGAAAACTGTCCCCTGTATACAATTTCCTTTGGTTCCTCTCACAAAAGTAAAGTGTTCTGAAGCATCAAAGCCACAGCAAGTCCTGAAAAGAAAGCTTCCCTTCTGTTGGTAGGGTCTAAGGGGGGGAGTCACCATATGCAAATGCCTCAGGCATCCTGCTGTGAGTGAGGGCACTGAGCATCCTGCCCTCTGTGTCTCAGACAGGCCTCACAAAGGGCATTCTTTAAACCCAGGGGTTGGGGAACGGGAATAAAGGGAGCGGCACCATTGTTCTGACCGTGGGAACAAGCATATGCCAGGGATATTGTCCTGGCCACTGCAAAGGGGGCTTCAGCACACGAAGTTGGTTAATTGCTGGTGCAGCCTGCAAGGAGTCATGGGAAGGTTGGATAGCAGTGAGGGACACAATGGGTTTGTAGAACACTGTTTCCCTCTGTAGGGTCTCAGCTCAGCACGCTTCCCGGGTCTGCATTGAAAGAATTGTGGTTTGTGAATTGGATAGAATGTAGAATTTAATGAAGATTGGTTATTATTATTTTAACTGTACACATTTACAGAGCACCATGTGGCAACACATGTATACAGTATGTAATGTTCAGCTAATATAGTTAAGATTTTCATCTCAAACTTTACAAGTTTTTCATGAACATAATTTGTTGATTAATTATTATACATGTTTGTGAGTCACAGTGTTGTGTTTTTTAAAAAAAAGCCAAGAGCTTTGTAAAAAGCCAAGTTTATAGAGTGTGGTATGGTGAGGTGGGAGGGGGTACCTCTGCTGGCCCAAGCGGAGGCATCCCCTTCTACTCCCAACCCCCTGCGAGGTACCAGTCATACAACTGGTATAATATAGAATAGAGTTTATTTGAGGGCATGGGAAGGAGTTGTTGAGGAGGGAGTAGAGGGAGAGAAAGAGAGGGGACAAAGAAGGACAGAATGAAAGAGAAGAGGTGGGCCAGGAACATGTGGAGAGAGATGGAGGAGGGGAAGGGGAGAGAGGGAAAGAGGGGTTAGGGAGAGAAGTGGGTCAGAGAGTTAGAGAGGGTAAGAGAGAGAGGGAGAGGCAGAACAGGCCCTTTTATAGCAAGCCAGGGCTACCTGGCTGTTGCTAGGTAACTGTTGGGTGGAGTCTAGAAGGAATGCCGACACACAGTGTGCAATTTCAATATGCAGTTTGCAGAATATATTGATAAAATCAGGAAAATCCACACGCATTATCTTTAGAATTTCTTTTTATTTGGAAGAGCCTTTCTCTAGTTATTTATAAATATATAACAGATAATTGGGAAATCTAGTCTTGCCAGTGTTGTGTAAAAGATTAGAAATTATTCTTGTGTATTGCATGTGTGCATTTGTGAGTGTGCATGTGTGTGTGTGTGTATGTATATGTGTGTTTGTAGGACAGAAGTTGATATCTGGTAACTTCCTCTATTGATCTCTATTTTGAGTATGTATGTATGTATGTATGTATGTATGTATTTGAGATTATAGTTAAAAAAAAGATTCTAAGTTGAAATACAATTTCACTTTATTTTCATTAAATCCAGAAAGCTTTTTGCACGTTTCAGCCCCAGTGAGTGGCTTTTCAGGTAAAACCAGTCCCAAAGCTATAGTTGAGTGGGTGAGGTGGCTAAACTGTCATGCAGCCGTGGGTGGCAGGGAAGAGCGCTTTGCAGCCTGTCTTCTCATAGCCTACTGCCTCTCTCCTGTTATTGAGATGCTTCTTTCTGATATGGCAAACAAAGAGACCGGCGACACCCTGTAACGACAATTTTGGAGTCTTGGTTTCATAAACAACAAAACAGAACACCCCACAGAAATATTATAAGAATATATTTTCATTTTAATCCCAGGCGTGGCATATGGGGCTGCTTCAGACTGTCAACAGCAGCTGACTAGGATTTGCCTCATGCTCTAGAGGCTCTAGGTGGCATGATTTTGCCAGCTTTCAGCGAATTTGTGTGATGTTTGGGATTCTGGAGACTTTTCAGAGAGTATATAAATGCTAGGGCCCCCGAGAGGCTTGTTGGGTTTGGTTGTTGTTGGTCATGGTTTGTTAAGTTATTATGTGAAAAGAAGAAACAACAAGAAGAAATCAGATATCCTGACAATGAAGATCAAACTTGCCTTAAGGGACTCAGTGCTCCCAATCAACAGGAAGTAGTCTAAGGATAGCATCGCCCCCTTTCTAACTCCTGACTTTCCTCTCTATCCTTTTTTTTCCCCTCTCATATCTAGTGTTAGGGAGTTGAAAGGCTGGAAGAAAGAAGAACTCACATAGTCAAAGTCCGGCTACAAAAGTTTTAGAAAAAGATGAAAGGACAAAGTTAGAATTTCCCTTTTCATCTCTCTCTCTCTGTGTGTGTGTGTGTGTGTGTGTGTGTGTGTGTATGAGAGGAACAAGTGCCAGCCTGCAAGCAGAGGCCAGAGAAGGAGATTCAGGGTCCTGCTCCATCTTTCTCTGTCTTATTTTCTTGAGTCAGGATCTCTCACTGACCCTGGAACTAGGCTACTAAACACCAGTGATTCCTGTTCTCTCTTTCTCTCTCTCTTCTCTTTCTCTTCTCTCTCTCTTCTCTCTCTCTCTCTCCCCCCGTCTCTGCCTCTCTCTGTCTCTCTCTCTCTGTCTCTCCTCCCACCCTTTCCTACACAATGTGTGTTAGGGTCGTAGGCACACCTATGACTCTGGATTTTTAAGTGAGGTCTGGAGATTCGAACTCAAGTCCTCATGCTTGAAAAGGAAGCACTTTTACTTCCCAAGCTGCCTTGTACCTCTCCACCTTTTTTTTTAAAATTAAGAAATATTTATTTTACATTTGTGTGGGAATCTGTGTCTGGGTATGTGCATATGCCTGTGGGTGTCAAAGAGGTAAGAGGCATCAGGTCCCCTGGAACTGGAATTACAGGCAGTTGTGAGCTGCATGACATGGATGCTGAGAACCCAACCAGGGTCCTTTGGAAGAGAGACAAGCTGTCTTAGCCACTGTGCCATCTCTCCAGGAGTTACCCTCCCCTCACCATCTTGATTTTTGAAAAATAGTTTTTTTTCAAGTCAGAACCAGTTTTATTGCAAAAGGACCCTGTACACATTTATCAATGCTAGTACCTTAAGAGCTACCCAACAAGTCATTAACATACAGAAACATGCATCATGAGAAGCAAGAACTATCACCCATCCCTTCTGCATATTAGCAACTTGTCACTCCTGAGCCACAGTGCTCACAGCACTGAGGTCTGTGAACAGTCACTCTTCTCATTCATCCTGAGTGAAAGATGGAATGACTTAAGTACAAATGCAACATATCATAAAGAATTTCTTACAAAAAAGTCACAAATTAAACCAAAGTATTTTACAGAATTTACTACAAAATGCCATAATACTCGCCTCAACTTAAGCTCCCCCCCTCCCCAATCCGGCGAGCCAACTGGATGTCTTTGGGCATGATGGTGACTCTCTTGGCGTGGAGGGCACACAGACTGGTATCTTCAAACAACCCCACCAGGTATGCTTCGCTAGCCTCCTGGAGGGCACCGATGGCTGTACTTTGAAACCTCAAGTCGGTTTTGAAATCCTGGTCGATCTCTCTCACCAACCTCTGGAATGGCAGCTTCCGGATGAGCAGCTCAGTCGATTTCTGGTAACGACGGATCTCTCTCAGAGCCATGGTCCCAGGCCTGTAGCGATGAGGCTTCTTCACCCCACCGGTAGAGGGCGCGCTTTTCCAGGCCGCTTTGGTGGCCCCCTGTTTGCCGGGGGCTTTCCCATCAGTGGACTTCCTGGCGGTCGGCTTGGTTCCGGCCATTTTCTTTCACCCAAAGCCGAAGTCTGAGGCCCTTGCTTGCACCGAAGGCCTCTGTAAGCATTCAAACAAGAGCTGCAATCGCCGAGCAGAACGAGAAGATGCTCCTCCAACGAACGACCAAACCGCTCTGCCTAGTTCTTTTGTAAAGGTTTATGTGTAAAAGTGCTTGCCTATATGTCTATCTGTGCACCATGAGCACGCATGATGACTGTGCAGGCCAGAAGAGAGTGTCAGATTCCCTGGACCTGGAGTTATAGATGTGTGGGAGCCAGTCTGTGTGCCGGGACGAGAACCTTGGCAAGAGCAGCAAGTGCACTTAAACACTGAGCCAACCCTCCAGCCCTCACCCTGCTTTCTGACACAGGGTCCTTTATGGCAGCTGGGGCTCCCTGATTAAGTTAGGCTGGCAAGTCACCGGGAACTGTACATTGCTACCTCTGAGGCACTTGTGGATTACAAGTACATATCAGCACTATTCATCTTTTTTTCTTTCTTTAAACACAAACTCTGAGAGTTGACCTCTTATGAACTGAGCTATCTCCCCGACCCAAGAGAATTCCTTTCTGATAGTCTGTGTGGAATGTTAACTATGAGGCAGGGATCCCGGCACGGATGAGAGTCAAGTGAGGAGCGTGACTTAGCAGAGCACAGCTCAAGTTCTACAGGGGAAGATGAACTGCTTCTAAAGGGATTCTTATACAAATCAGTTGCCCAGCGAGTAACGGAGACATACATTAGACAGGGAGTCAAGAAATAACGGCCTGGAGACTTGGGGAGGGGCCCGGAAAGAACTGACCTGGTCAGAGAGTGGACATAGGCAAAAGAATGGACAGTCTTGGAGAAAATGGTCTCACACGAGGTCTCCAGGCAGAGAGCCTCTGAAGACTAGCTTTCCTGGAGTGGACAGTCACTAGAGTAGCACCTAGGCAGTGTGAGGCAGGAAACGGGTTGCACCTCCCTGGGAAAGTGGAAAAGAACAAGAGGGTCATTCCAAGGGAATGCACAGAACACAGAGGCTTTGACCTTTGTCACTTAAGTAGCTAAGCCAGGGAAAGAGCAGAGGATTTTTTTTTTCTGGTCTCCTTTGTCAGTATTTATTGAGAACTTATTTCCTGGGCACCGTGGAAATCCCCAGATCATAGGAATGTGGAGTCAGATGAAGAAGGCACAGGAGTTGCTTTTATTGGTTGAACTCAGAACTGAACAGCGCTGAGGAATATTAGCTGGTTGGTGAAAGAATTCACACTTTAGACCAGAGGAGAAAGAAAACACTTTAGTTAGAACATTCACAGAGAGCAGGGCGCAGGGAAGTGAAAACCGGTTTTTTGTTTGTTTGTTTTTGTTTTTTTTCTATCAAAGGTAGTTAGCTCGGCAAGGATTTATTTCCAGAATCTTTTTCTGCCCCTTTGCACTGATTAGGCAAAAGTGTCAGACAATGAAATCCATCTCTCATGTATGGGATGAGAAACAGTCACCACCTATGTCAGGGATAAAAGAAAGTCTTGGTCAAATGTACTTGCTAGCCGGGTTTGGGTACTGGCCGCCCTTTTTACAAAAATAATTGCCTAGCTAGCTACTCTCTTTGTTCATGTGTTCCGTTGTGCGACACACCGTTTTCATTCTTTATTCTTTGAAGTAACAGGAGAGCCGCTTGCCTGTGGCAGTAAGCTGCAAAGGTGAGGCACGGTGGGAGCAATGTTCAGTAGTGCGATTCCTGCCATATTAGCAAAGCCTGTCCTGATTGGTTGATGTTCTGTTCTGATGGGCGAGCCCATTTCCCATCATGCAATTTTCACCATGCAAACGAAGGCAGCTGTATGGTATTGGGTTGTAGCTGATTCTGCTGGGCTGTGACATTCTTCTGGGTGAAGAATGGTGGATTTTCTGTTTTGGAGATGCTCTGGAGACCTGGCTTGAATGGGGGAGCTGTTCCCTTTATGATGACCTTCCCTCCACGTTGGCGTTTTTTCCACAGGCCTTGAAAGCACTGAAAATGTCCATCTCTATCAGATTATCTTTCTTAGCTCACTACGGGTGTGCAAGCCATGACAAAGAATGCTCCATTGTGGGTCTCTGTTTCTCATATTTTTGGCGACTAGCATTTCTGAGAAATGATTTTGACTCAATCACCTGTCTCACTGGTATCACAGAGCAAACCCAAGTTCAACAAAATCTACCCTAAGTACAATGGAGAAATGCAAAGGTGACCCTGTAGACTGTATAGAAGGTGGTATCCCGGAGTAGGGAGTGTTTGTGGGACAGAAAGGTACATTTGCTGGATAATATTACCCACCAGGCATCAGAATATGTATGGTGTTGACAATATCTTAAGTATTTTAGGCACAGATTTGAATCCCGCCACCTGGCTCCCAGCCTAGCCTAGCTCTGGCTCATGGCGAGAAGGATTGATTTTGAGGAAGTGGATCCTGTCTGCTTTGTGGGGTTGGGTGCAGAGGTTTTTCAGTTATAACTCCACCCTTGAGTAAATATTGCCTTCTCGTCCAGCATTCTCCTACTTGACCACTGACATTCCTGGTAGAGTCTGTGGTATCTGGTGTCAGCCATGTGGTATTCAAGGATGTGGAAGAAGAGGAGCTGTAGGGCGAGGTGAGCTTTGTGGTCCAGTCCACTCTGCCAGGCTGTGTTCATGACGGCTTTTTGTGGTTATGAAAAGCCCAGGGAGGAACAACTTAGGGGGAGGGAAGGAGGAAGGATCCGTCTTGACCCATGACTTCAGAGGTTTCAGCCCATGTCCTCAGTGTTAGTGAGGCAGAACCATCATGTACCGGTGTGTGGTAGAGCAAAACCACTTTGCTTGCCTCTTCATGGCAAGCAGTAGGTGGCATCCCAGTTTCCCCTTAGCACATGCAACTCTCCAATTAGACTCTGACTCTCAGTCCCTAGAGGTGCCAGTACCTGTAATGCTGAAATTCCCAGGGAACCAAGGCTTGTACACAGGAATGTCTGGGTGCTTGCTACTGCAGATCTCAACTGAAGACCACATTTTCTGGACCCATGGAAAGAAGTCTTCAGGAGCAATCTATTTGAAGCCACCTTGGGTGCTATAGTGCCACACAGAGGAGAGCGGTTACTGTTTTTTTTTTTCTCTCTGAGACAGGGTTTCTCTGTGTAGCCCTGGCTGTCCTGGGGGGTGTCTCCGTGGGTGGGAAGGTTCCAGAAGCAAAAGGTACCATGGGCGTACCATTACAGTGCAACAGTGTAGCCTTACACTGAAACCTCTGTGCGAGGCTCTCAGAGACTTAGCAATTTTACCCCTTCACTGAAGGTTAAACAGAATTGAGAGTCTTCAAATTTGGGGACCAAGGGGGAGACTGAAACTGATCGTTCTTTTTATAAGAGATTTATTAGGAGAGATGGCGACACCATAGACAGGAAGACAGCATCATGACAGGGACGCTGAGGAGAGACCAAACCCATGTGACTAAGTGGGGGTTGGGGTTTTTTTTTTTTTTACAGTAAGGAGAAGGATGTGAAGGAGTTTGAAACGTTTAGGGGTTTTTTTGTTTGGTTGTTTGGGATTTTTTTTTCTTTTTGGTCCAAAGTCCTCTGTTGCTAGGGGTAACCAATGAGTACTCAGTTAAAGAAAGTCAGGTGATCAAAAAACACCTTTCCTCAGTGGCCATAACATGGGGTGGTCAGAATAGAGAAGGCTGTATCTAGAGAGACAAGTTACTTTCTAGAGTCCAAATCATTGTAGCTTAGGGAATGTCACAGTTCGGCCAAAATGGAAGAGATTTACAAAAGGCCACGGTCCTCACCAGCCAGAGCCAGGCAGCTTTTGTGGGGAAAATAAGAGAGTGACACAAGCCCCTTTGCCTGAGGGGCTTATGAGAAAGGAGTGAGGAGTTAACATAAACCTTCTGTCAAAAGCTATAAGCAAATCTCCACTTTTGCTACTCACAAAGAGTGTTCATACTGCAGCCTACCCCAAGGTTCGACCCAGCTTTGTAAAAACTAAGCTAACACATGAAGACATCAATAGTGCTTACCTCTTAGAGGTACGATTTTACGTGTAACACTGTGCTAGGTCTTCCTGTAAAATGTACCGCTACTATAATAATAAAGTCTTAAAAGTTTTGCCATAGCAGCAGTCTTTGGTGCTTTCTCCCTTGCCAGAATCGGTGTTTTGGTTTTTTTTTTTTTTTTTAAAAAGCCAAAAACGTGGGTGTTTGTTTTGCTGTTAGGGCTGCTATGTCGGCCAGATTCTGCCTGGGTGTCTCGGCTTCATCAGCATAGAGGAGATTGGGCCTTAGGGAGTTGTTAACTTCTTGCTGTCTATGTTCCTTCCTGGTGGTATAGGATTCCTGCCCTGCCCTCTTCCTTAAGAAAGACTCTAAAACTGCTCACGTGGCAAGAGGATGGAGACTGAAGAAAGCTACATCAACAAATGAAATAAGCCAGCTGGCAAGCCCTTCCAGACCTGGCTTCGCACAACACACTGAGCATGCTCAGAAGAGTCTGCACTATTCAAAAGAGAGACATGGGCGCTAGTTAAACGTCCGATGCAGGCGTTGCCCAGCATTTTTTGGACTTTTCTCTCAGCTCACTAGCTTACTCCCATTCTTGGAGAGCTTTCTTTTTCTTAATAAATTGTCTCTATTTCCATTTCTAGATACATGTCCTTCATCTGTTTGTGGTTTGGATGGAAGAACCTGGACATTTCGGCAGGTGGCCTGGGATTCAAATCTGTGCCTAAAATACTTAAGATATTGTCAACACCATACATATTCTGATGCCTGGTGGGTAATATTATCCAGCAAATGTACCTTTCTGTCTAATGACTCTCTTGTTCTTCATGCTGTCTACAGATCTCAGGTATCTCTCCAGTACCATGTCTGCCTGTGTGCCACCATGTTTCCTGCCATGATAATAATGGACTAAACCTCTAAACTGTAAGCCAGCCCCAATTAAATGTTTTTTTTTTTTTTAATAATAGTTGCTGCAGTCATGGTGTCTGTTCACAGCAGTAGAAACCCTAA